CCTTGGGGGGAGGGGGGGGGGGGGGGGGGGGGGAGTCCAGGCAAGGATGTGCGGAGCAGGGGTACAGGGCTAGAGGTTGGGCTCTGTACCCACTGCTCTCCCCCCCACATCATTTTTGATGGGCAGTTTGCTAGTATATTTTAAAATTGTGCCAGACAGGACAAAATAGAGTAGTCTAGTCTAGTCCAATGGATTCTGAACTGTAATCCTCAGAACCAAAGTAGCCTGCAGTTCCCACCTTTTAAAATAAGTGGATGAAGGCCCACAGGAAACTAAAGGTCGACAGTCATGAATTGGTTCAAAAGTTAGGGAAACCACTGGTCTGGTTCACCTGGAAAAATGTTCTATGTGCTAAAGGCACTGCATGAATCAGGTTACTTGGACAGAACCAACTCCAGAAAGAGTGCTTATAATGACAAAAATGTTACTTCCCTTCTCCAAACTTCAGTATCATCTGCCTATAACAAGAGACAGGTTGCCAAAAATCCTGATTTAATCACTTGATACACCCCTCTGATATTTAGATTTGAATTCTTTACTCCAGATTTCCAGCATTAATATGATCTATGAATTGTTGTGCTGTTCATTAATTTTAAATAAACAAGTAGTGCTGCATATAAAACCAGCACGCTATGGTTTTGTTCTGAAGTAATTTCTTATGATTTTAACACTTACCTGAAATAAGAGCTACAGGTTGCAAGAACCATCTTATGACAGGGGAATTCGGTGCCCTCTACAATCAACACTATGTCAGTGAGCAACCGCTGATCATAGAATAACTTGAACTGCTCCAGTAAGGCCACAGCATATTCGGTATTTATCTGCCTTTCGTCCTGGGTAGACATGACTGTATTCCATTAATACTTCCAAACCAGATTAGAGAAGACAATATATTTCTGCAGAAAGAGGTCAAATGAATGTTTCTGGAGTAAGAAGAAACAGAAGGAGATGTCTGCAGCCTTTAAAATTATAATACTAGGCAGTATTATCTTGGATTCCTGAATCAAGAATGTTTCAGGCTTCAACCTATTACTAGGTCATCACGTTCTACTTTCGTGTCAGCCTGTTCTTAGACTTTCAAGAGTATCTGCAGGCCTCCTGTTGGGAGTTGTAATGATGCAGCACATGAATGCTTAAGAGCAAGGTCTGAGGTAGATTTTGTGGAAACATCTCGTAATCAGTGACTGCACTTGAGTGACTGAAAGCAAGAAAAAATTATTGCACATATTAGTACCTTCAAACAAACAACCCATAGTTTCTTCTATCAGTTATCCTGTCCAACTGGCTCCCTTAGAGGAATTCTACAACCTTAAGCAAGGTTACAAAAAGGTTTCTAGAAGGACATCAAAACGCGTGCAAAAATAACTAAAAGGAAAGCAACAGAGTTTGTACAACCTAAATGCATGAAATAACAAAAAGATAGTCAGGTCACTACAACACTAAGATTGAAACTTAATTTAAATCTCACAATATAAAGAGACAAAGTGAAGGTTCACCTAGCAATATTGTGCATTTAGCACATTGTTTCTCTTTCCAGAGTATTTTAAATGTTTCTAAATAAAGGTAGATGTTCCTTTATTTCCTTCAACCAATACTAAAAATAGCCATCCTATTTTTTTTCACTCCAGTATTAAAACTAACAAAGGTCTTTTGCCTGCACGATATGCTTTTGTCCAAATTAAATTTAACAACAGTACCTGTTTCTATAGTTAAGCAAGCAAAGTTCATTCTCATTTCCCACATTCCTGCTCAACCTTCAGGAAGCCATATAAATCCACCTGTTCTGTGTGTAACATGTAATCCTTTCAGAAAAATTCTACTAGTCAGTCACATGTGAAGTTTTCAGACAGGATTTTGTCAAGGATGGAAAGAATCAATTTCTTACTCCAGTGCTTGTTTGGATCAAATCTGTCAAAAATGGCTTCCATAATTTTATAGCTGATTTAAGAAGTACCCCTATTAGTAGTTTTAATGTGGCCAACACTACTTACAATACTACAAACAGAAGGGAGGGGGGAACCCTTTTCATACAACATATGCCTATGAAGTTGAAGCAGCCCAATTAAAATTTTGCCCTGAAGTGGACACTCAGTCCACATGCAGATATGACAAGGAACCATAAGGAGATGTGGGAGAAACCTCCATAAAGTAAAGCCACATAACAGACAAATGGTCTAAAATGGAAAGGAGGGAGACATAAATAGACAATCGAAGAAGCAACAAAGTCAATCCCTACACAATTTACAGTTTCAGACATTCTCTGCACAGCTTGCAAAACCCATGGAATCTTAACACAATTGAATATACAGGAAAGTTTCCATGAAAAGCTTCAAGTAAAGACTGGAAGAATCCCTGGAAGAAGCCAAATGCTACCCTTGAAATTCGAGTGTTAAAGAGTTGGAAAACCCCAAGTTAAGACTCCATTAAAAAATAAATTGATGAAGATTATCTAATCACTCTCAGTACAATAACAGTTTCCAACCTCCCACCTGATTTTTTCTTTTTTAAATAGATAAGCAAAGAAGAAAATATTGAATGCCAAAACCCTGATGTTACAAGGGTACATAACATGAAGAGCAACATTTAAATACACTGAGTTAAGCATGTACATGTGTTCAAAGCATTAAGAGCTAAAATTGCACTTGTATTAAAAAAACTTTCACGTCAAAAAGTTCTTCGGTGTTAACCGAAAAAAACTGATTAGATTTTCAATACATTAATTTACACACACACACACACACACATTTTTCCCTCAATCTGAGCCTAATTTTAATCAAAACCAGCAGCAAGTAGGTTAGGAGCACAAGTTACATATTAATTTAAAACTACAAACCCTAATGGAAAACAGCCTGGCCGAAGCATTTCAGCTTCCCTAACTACTAGAAAACTGACTGAAGTTGCGGCTTACTGTAAACATAGCATGAACTAATTGCTTATCAATTTGTTTCTGAATTTGGGTTATAACATTATGTGAATGAGTTTCTGGATGCATCTTCAACATGCATGCCCATTTAAGCGTAAAATATAATGTCCCTGGCATGTAGGTTGTAGCTGTGTGTTGGTCTAAGGACACAAGCAGACAAGGTTCTTTGGGTAAATGCAATATCTCTTATTAGACCAACTCAAACAGTTGGAAAATAGTTGGAAAATTTTTATAATAAAAAAAATGGCAACTACAAATTGGTGATGTGAACATAAACTCCAACTGAAAAAAAATATATTTTTTTTTCAGTTGGAGTTTATGTTCACATCACCAGTCTGTAGTTGCCTTTTTTTTTTTTTATATAAAAATTTTCCAACTCATAGATTCATAGATTAAGGGTCGGAAGGGACCTAGTAGATCTTCTAGCCCGACCCCCCGCCAGGGCGGGAGAACAACAAAAAAACCCCAAAAAGAGAAACGGGACTCAAATGAGTCCAGCCAGGTAGGCATCCAGCCTCTTCTTAAAGACCCCCAGGGTAGGGGCCAGCACCACTTCCCTTGGAAGTTGGTTCCAGCTCCTAGCCACCCTAACTGTGAAACTATTTGTCTTGGTCTAATAAGAGATACTGGATTTACCCACAGAACCTTGTCTGCTTGCATCCTTAGACTAACACATGGCTACTATATATCCACCATGATCAAATCTTGCACTTAAATAGATAAAAGACTAGCTGGGCCGGTTAAAGATTTGAAAGATTTAAAAACAAAAAACTGATAAAATTTGTAAAAGACTTAAAGGTTAAAATAGAGAAGTCATGGAATCATCACTATTCAAATATTTTAAAGTACTAGTCAATTGCTCATCCAGAATGATGTGGGGGAGGAGGGAAGGCAGCTGGGATGGAGTGCCACCACCTACCGCCCCATGCTGCCCATCACTATTCAAATATTTTATAAAGTATTGGAAAAGGAGTAATTAAACTGTGGGAAACAGAAGAGGAAAGATATACATCTTTCTGTAGATTGGTATGAGCTTCTTCCTAAAAAAATCTAAATGAAGTCTGAAAGGAAAAGCAAGCAGGCTAAAAAAAGCAGATGCAGCAATGTGTATTTGCTAAGTGGACTGTCAGAATGTTGCAGTCTTTCATTCAATTACTCTAAGATTACCAATTATTGTATAAGTAACTTCTAGAGGTCACATAGATTTGCTACTTTTGTTAGAACAACATCTATAAAGGCCCTTCCTGCAGGTTCTGTTGCCCCTGCAATTTCATTTGTTTCAAGCAGATATGGCATTTTGAAGGCTGCATGCTTTTTAACTGCCATTAGTGCCATCATCTTTCTCCAATTACAGTCACACCCAAATACTGTCAAGGCCACTTAGTATAACAGACTTTGGTCAGCCCATGCATGTGACATTAACAGAAGCTGAGTACCACATGATGGCATATGATGAAAGTGTGTTTTACAAGATAGCAGCAAACTGTAAGAGACCATTTTAGTTCTGAATGTGTATTCTGCCCTAGGTGTTCACAAAACACACTTACACATGTTCTGACTGATTCCTGAAGGGCAGCACTACACCTATAAAATTGGAGGAGACAATATGTATTCTCTCTCCTGAAAAACATGTAAGCATATGTGAAACTATGGCACAAAATCTAACAAGGAAAAATTAAAAGTTATACAAATTAACCGATGGGAGGAGAAAGTATACCACCATACAAAAAAAACAAACAAAAACCAGAACTGGGAGGGCTTATGCCTCAAGTTCTCCTCCCTCACCACCCTTTTCACAGGTAACACCATACATCAATGTCTGACAAGCCTCACAATTATTAAAAGAATATTTGTTTGCCATCATATCTTTGCATATATTTTTCCATGCAAGGCAAATCACTTTGCTAATCATCAGGTATATAAACTGGTTTAATCTTTGAACATCACTTGATACTTGTAAAATTAGCAGTTTATTTGCCCAGCAGACAGCTTACATTGCTGATCTTAACTCAAGAGCATCAAACATATGGCCAGTAAGCCAGATCCAGCCCATGAAGCTGCTCCATCCAGTCCACAAGTGTGCCAGTAGTTGGGGGCATGTCCAGGAATGGATGATACCTGCCACAGTTTTCATGGCTCCTAGGCCCCGCTGGACAAATAAGTGGCAGGAGGGCAAACAGGGGCTGGCCCCATGGATCATACCCAGGAGGAACCCCACAGTCTGGATCCAGCTGTTTGACACCCGTACAGTAAGTGGCCTATGACAATAGGCTAGAGCAACAATAAGCAACTTCTCACCATTATTATGTATGAAAGTCAGCCACTCATTACGAAAACTGTGATATCATTCCTCTTCCTATCACACTCTACCCATTATCCGGATATGAATCTCTAACAGATTAAGATCACTTTCAACCAATTACTGAAAGTACCAGTGAATACTAATTTGAGAATGACCAAGACTATTCACACAAACCTATTTTTCTTTTCCCGATTCATAAGTAGGGGTCTACTTAAATCATAGAGAAACTAAACAATTTATGGGATGATCACAGTATAAACAGAAAATTCAGAGGACGTGTCATGGATGTGTTCATACACAACATACAATAAAGTAAATTATATGTAGAGCTGTACATAATAACTTATGCTTACTTTAATAAAAACATTCCATTAAGGTAAGCACCCACGCTCCAGCAGGGGGAGGAAGGACAAGGGGGCTGCCACCGTGTGCATCCCGGGAGTCAAACACAACAGCCCTTGACAAGGCAACTGCTGCCCTTCGTGCCACCCTGCCAATGAGTCCCTTCCCCTTTAGGGCAGGCAGGCTGTGAGGCCAGGCTGCAGTGACAGCGAGGACCACTGGCTCCCACTGAAGAACCAACATTTTATTATTTTTATTCAGTTTTTATTTTTAAGTTGATTTCACAGGCAATCCCATTTTTATGTTTTCTGAAAAACCTGCTGAATTGCAAATAGAGTAGACTAGACCCTTATTCATAATAATTACTCAGAAAGAGAAAAACTGTCAGTGTTTTTGTTTAGGAGTGGAAGGTGATAAAGTAGGAGTTGCTATACTGGGGGTGAGCAATTATTTTGGCTGGAGGACCACATAAGGAGTTTTGGTGAGCTGTCCCCCGCCCCGCCCCCAGCTATAGGTTACCAAAACTCCCTAAATGGAGGGCCGCACTCCCACCCCAATCTGGGACTGCAGCAGGCCCCAATCCCCGCTGTGCCTGGAGCTGCAGGAAACCCCAACCCCACCTGCTCAGAGC